AATTGGCCTATAATTGGCTGACAGGACTCCTGTCGCCATTTTTGAAGAGTAGGACAGATGACAGCCCCTTCCATTCGGAAAGGTAATGTACAAGCTGTCAAGTGATTTACTGAAACACCACCGTCAGCGGTCCACTCAGTTACACCGCCAACTCATGCAGAAGCTTCGGGTGAATTGAATCAGGTCCAGCTGCTTTGGAAGGGTTCAGTTCTTGCAGCAGTTTAAGGACTTGCGTTTCCACCACAGTAAACTCAGCTAAATAAGAACCCTCAGGTACTCTGGGGACAAGTTCAACGCTAGTCAACGCAGCCTCACGTACAAAAGCCCCTGCATACTGCTCCCCAAGTACACGAGCCTTATCTGAGTCCGCATACGCACGAGTTCCATCGGCCCGCATCAAAGTTGGGATTACCGAAGTTGAACCACAGCGTCAGTTAACATAAGCGAAGGACTACTTCGGATTTTCCAAAGCTCCATCAGTCAATTTCTTTTCCTACACCAGCCGAGCTTTCCTTAAGCGTTGTTCAACCTATTTCTAGCCTCGCGGTATCTATCATAGATGCTAGTTGATGGAGCCGCACGGTAGGTCCTCCAGCACCTAGAACGCTTCCGGCGCAGGTACTTGCCAGTGGTATCTATCCACGGCGGCCGCCACCTCGTGTCTCCTTTCTCCTCGCAAGCGGGATTTGTAAGGAGTAGACACTTTCCGTGATATAAGATTTAAATTTATCCCAGGCCGCCCTGAACCGTATCAACCCACCGAGGTTTTCGCCAACGCAATCCCAGAAGCCCTTGATACGCATGCCTGATAGTTAGCACGCATATGTTTGGAAATGACTTAGCAATGCTCTGGTGACCGCCTGTCAGAGTACACCTGAACGATAAACAAACAGGATCACTAGCACCTAATGGAGAGCTGTAAGTGATTGTCCCCTACGAAGTCTAGTGAAGTTGGACAAACACTACATCCAAAACAGACGGAGTTGGGCGTCCCTAGTACCTTAGTGGGGAAGGTCCACGAACTGATGCAACGGCACTTGTAGCGTAAGCTCAAGAGATCTGCCCGAAAGTACCTTCTTGCAGAGTTGCAAGAAAGATCCTGCCCAGACAAACTTCTGTAGATTGAAATCCCCCAGTATCAAACACCTGTTTTGCGGATTGGAAGCGAATAAAGTCAAACACCTCTTTGGACGCACTCCCAGGGCTTCTATACACAAGTACAGACTGAAAGTTGAGCTGAGAAGTGTTAAGGGCACTACCGACAACGCTTCGACAGTTTTTATCTGCCCGACCTGAAACATGTAGGTGCTGTGCAACCAGTCAAAGTTCACAACCTTAACGTAAATAGTAACGCCCCCGCGCTTGTCCGGACCAAACGGACAGCCGATCACATCTAAACAGTGCGTAGCCAGACAGATGTACTTCACCGTTCGTGATGTCCCGAGACAGCCACGTTTCAGTGAATGCAAGTTCAAGTTCAAGTGGGACTGGAACGACAGGATGAATCCCGTAAGTGTTTCTTCTTGAGCGGGATGAGATCCATCTACAAGCAGACCTACGTGGAATATACGCTAGACAAACATGATCACTAGCACATAAGGGAGAGCTGTAAGTGATGTGACCTACGAAGTCTAGTGACTTGGCAAACACTAGATCCAAAATAGACGAGAGTGGCTAATTTTTGACATGAAAAATAGGCCTGGAGGGGCTTTGTTTTCCGGTACACCAGGCTAAATGGTGATGCTTCCATAAATAGTTTTGAAATAGATGTGTATAGGTCGCTTTGTGCTTAAGTATGTACAAAGAATGGTAGTTGGTAAGCTATATTAGTTGTAAATTTTGCTTTCATTCATCGCGATTTTAAAAAATACAAAAAATACAATAATCAGACAAGAGATATGTATACCCCTTATCCAAGCAAGTAACTTACCGCAAGCATAAACTTTACATACATGAAACAATTGTATAAACACTTATTTGCTCCATAAATCAGCCGTTTACACTACACTTTTATTTAGCATTTGCCTGCATTCCATTATGCCGTGAAATTCAACTACGTTTGTAGTCATCAATTTATCATTAACCGTTTTCACGAAGCAAATCTATATAGCATTTTTTATTCCCCGCACCTTAATTCCACCAAAAGAATGAATATACGCAGCCACACAAACAAGCTTGGCTGTTACCGAGGACAACGGTAGCGAAACCCTTTCCCGCCATGACAAAAATTAGCTCTTACCAAAATAGACGGGTTAGGCGTCCATGTACCCGGATCGACCTTCTAACGATAACCCTACCCGGTAGTCGCAGACCTAACAGGGCACTTTAAAGATCATTAAATTCATTGAGTTTATTGAGTTGTAGAGTACCACGCGGGGTTGGTTATTTCGTCAGACTGAAGTAAAGCAATTCACCTTTAGACTGTCATTTAAATCTGGTAATGCTTTAAATCTGTGTTTTAGTTTGCTAAAAGGCTTCAACCGCAGCCGCTCATTCAAATGCTAGTAATTACGGTTGGCGGTACCATGTGATTGCACAAACGCGGTTAAATTTGAATTACTGTGGTGACTACTCGTACATCTGTTTTACCGCTTAAATCATTTGCCATCTGAGTGCCCTAAATAGCTAGCATAAATTGTTATGAGCCGTTTAATAGTACAATATTGGTCTTGATGTATTAACATTTTACTGAGGTGAAGTGAGTAAAATAAGGAAGGCCGAAATGGTGGCGGAAAATCATCGGACACGAATGTGCGGAAACTGCGTTCAACAAATGTAAAGTCATTTTTAGTTAGGGAATGGTTTAAAATGTGGCATGCATTGAAACTTAAGCTGACGGTCTATTGAAAACGGAAATCACTTTTTACAACGCCGCAGCTAGAAGTTTGTGAAAGCTACACGGAATGTTAATTGCACATATAATGTACATGGAGGCCATGAAATGCAATATTTTAAGGCAGTTCATGTGCCTAATTCATTCCTAATTAACGGAACTACGTAATTAATAAGTGTGAAATTTACGGATTGTGCTTTGTAGATAATCTGCAAGTAAATGTTCAGTTCAGTTCAGATGAAGACTAGAACGATAGGAGAATCCCGTGAGTGTTCCATCTTGAGTGATCGTTGAGCGAGAAATTGATGAAGTGCTCAGTTATTGATGGATCATAAATGGAACACCCGTATCGCACCCTGGCCAGCCAGTTAATGCCCACGTTTCCTGCCTTAGCAGTCCCTGCTGTGGCAGTCACGTGAAGTAAGCAAAGGATAGGAAGAGAAATCGAAGGTAGAGAATAGGAAAGTGCACTTAAATAAGAAAATAATACCAATACGTGAAGAAAAGAAGAGAAAAGAAAATCGAAGTACGAAGATGCGAGTTACTCAGGAAAATGGAAAGATTTCGTGTTGCCACATAAGAGCGTCAAGTTGCCGCTGAAACCCCTTAACCGTAGATTCCCTGATAACACTTTCCGGAAGCACGTTCTAGCGGTCGATGACTCTGCGTGACAACCGGATTTCCGCCCTAAACCGATCGGACCGCGGTTTTTCTAGCTTCAACGAATGACCGCGTATAGCAGACAATCTAGCGGGACTGAATAGCTAAGCTAAATCTGGACCAACCTTACCAGTCAAGATAAGGTAGGTTAGGATTATGTCTCCTATAAGCCTTCGGTAGTGCATTGCATGCATTCTCAAACTAAGTAGACGCTCAGGGTACGTCCGTCCCCGTAATCCCTCAACTAAACTAGTACCCACTCGTAAAACCCTCTCTAGCTCCATTTTGTCCCGGACGAGGCAAGGCGGACAAGCCTGGACGCAGTATTTCAGAATGTGATTTGTTAAATCTGAATAAGTGCAAAAGAAGTGACTGCGATGACAAAGGCATCACTATGTGCATGGTTGATAAAATGCATAATTAGATGTTGGAAGTTGATAAGGGATGACGGATAACAGACATATTCTGTCCATAAAGCTGTGGTTGTAAATGCGTATTTAGAAAAGAGCACACACTGAACAGCAGTTATTAATGGTGTAATCGAACGGGCGTATTTTCTTGTGCAGAAGCTGTGCAGGTAGGTCGCATTTGTTGCGAAGAGCTAAGCAAATGGGAATAATTTTGAACGTCTTCATATGCCAAGATTAACATGTTAACTGCATATCAAATGGGCTAATTTCATACCTGATACTGAAATATATATACGCATCCGGCCTAATATGCTACGTATGTAGATATGGATGTTCATATTTATGTGTTTACACATGTATATGTATGTATATATATGTTTATATATTTGCATATACATACTCACATATATGCATTTATATATATGAAATTTTATATATATGGCATATATATACGTATACTTATGTATACATGAACATATATATATATAATCACGCATATATTTTTACTTACATTTCATTACGGTACATGATACCGCATACAAAGACGCACACCAATACGTATATATATATATATATATATATATATATATTAGCATCCGGAAACAGGTTATGCCTTTATATATGCAGTTAACCTATTTCTCTGGGCATATGAAGACGTTCACAATTATTCCTGTTTGTTTAGCACTTCGCAGCAAAATCCACCTACCCGCAGAGCTTTTGCACTATTAAATAATTCCGTTCACTAAAGCCAATAATGAATGTTATTCAGTGCATGCTCATTTCCAATTACCCATTTGTATACACTTCATTACGGTAAGAGAAAATATCTGCTATTGTTAATTCGTTGTCAGCTTTGAACATCTTATTCCGTATTTCATCAACCGTCCACATCATGATGCCTTTGTCATGGAAGTTACTCCTATTGCACTTAATCGGATTTACCAAATCACATTTACTTGCAGCTATCCTTCAAAGCAGGACCACCAGCAGGGGCAATGACACACCGGATATGCAGCGCAAACCCAAAGGAATCGGTCTTGGAGGCGTGTGGAGGGGTGCAGGCTTCATCATTGGAGCCGGCCCACACTGCTTCAAAGGGGAATAAGAGCATGTTGTATTACATGCATTGAAGCGCACGGAATGCACATGCTGAGCCGTGCTGTGCTTCAGGCGTATGGCACGGAAGTAATGTTGGAGGGTGGCGCGAACATCACGCGGGTGCAACCCTACGCTTCAAGCAAGAACAATATATTGGTGTACAAAATATAAATTGCTCTACCAGATTGGCAAGCATGCGATAAACTGCAAGTCATAGAAAAGGGGCATGCATAGAGAACACGAGATGTGCACGCCGATGAAGTGAACTCGTGAAGACCCTTGAAAGCAGTAATAAGGGGCTCTTAGGAAGGGTACATGTGGATGTCAGGTGGGTATGCTGTGTAACGGCATATTTGTAGCAATGGCTTACGGCGGACGTGTATGTCGTCATGGCTATTGCGATGATAATCACATTGTGATGGTTGCTGTTACTGTTGCCCAAACATGCACGGGAACGTGACGTAAAATACATAGATATGTACCGTTACGTGAGTCCTTGCAGTAAACCTTATGCCTATCGGTGTATAGCAGCGGTAAAGCGGAACAGTCTATGGGGAAATGCAGGTGTCAAGTAGGAGTGTGAACTGCACAAGAGGTTACTAGTCTGTGCTATTGCAACCCGTTTCGTTGACGTTGATACCTCAACGCTGGTAAGTGGGAATGGTACTCTGGCAGGCGTGTACCGCAAGCCTCATTGCATCAAACATACACGTTGAGGTTATTCTTCATAGGGGGACAATGAAATGGAGTTATAAATGCAACACGAAAAGTTGTTGCACCGGTGACCTATGATGTTTGAAGCAATCGCAAATATTTCCGAGCTCGCGGGTGAGCTGCTTGAAGGCTCATTACATAGGGAACGAGAACACTGAGGAATGGTTTGTGCATACTTCACAACGTACCTGAAATGGAGAGACCCGGTATTAGTTAGCGTGTTTAATAGTGACGTAAGAATGCCATGTGCACTACAGTTTACTAACCTGCGGTATCGCGAGATGTTTCCTTGACGTCCATGTCCCCGCTCTGGTAAATGGAAGTGGTACTCCCGCGAGCGTGCACCGCAAGCGTCACTGCATGATAGAAACACGGTTGCGTTATCCTTCATAATGGCGCAATGCAATGGTGTAGTAAACCGCATGACGGAAAGCTGAGGCAGTAGTGACGTATGATGTTTAAACAATTCACAAATATTCCCGACCTGGCAGTGAGCTGTTTAATGGCTCGTTACACATGAAGCGAGAACACTGAGAAATGGTTCGCGGATCCTTCCAAAACAGACACAACAGCTGCACCTAGGTACCCCGTGCTACAACCCACATAGGGTAGACGCGAGGCCATACGACAGGTGGTGGCGCTGGAAACGGCCGTTGGGTCGTTCACGACAACTTTGACGTAACGGAGGCAACAGCAATACGAAATGGCGTGCTACCTTGACTTACTATCCCGAGAATGAGGCAACCGGGCGCACTTCATCGACGAGGCAACCTGCGCTGTGTAATCGGAGTATGGAGGCGTTAACACACTGGGCGATGCCACAGTGGTAATGCGGACGGTGGATAACAGTGGTGGGACGCTGGGAGGTGGCTGTACGTACCATATGTATTGAAGGGAAGGCGATTACCGCGTAGGGACTTACCTGCTGTCATGGCGAACCTGGTGACGCATGTCATGCAATGACATGCATCGGCAGGGCGGAGGCGAAACGTGGGAACACGTGTATTGTTATCCTGTTGTCGGAAGGCGATGGGAGGGCTGTTATAGTGGCTGCGAAATAGAAGTCTACATAGAAGACCAGTCACCTGTGGATAGCTTTCCATGACACATCAAATGGCGGAGGGGATTCGTGGGAGGTGGCTCAGTGGCGGTGCTAAGTTGGAAGGCAGTTGGCGGCGCATTTCACTTTCGCTGTTAAACAGAGGTGATCATGGAAAAGGAACGTTACCTGTGACTACTTATGAATGATGCATCTCATGGCGGAGGCAATAGGTGGGAGGTGGCTCAGTCGCGACAGTACGTTGCAAGGCGGCGCTCCGCACACATCACTGTGCCTCTGAAACGGAAGTCTTCATAGAAAACATGCCGCACCTACGACAACGTATGCATCGTGCATGAGATGGCGGAGGCCATACCTGGGAGGCGGCTGAGTGGCGGTGTTAAGTCGGAAGTCTATGTGTGCCGCATACCACAGAGGCTCTGAAAGGCAAGCTATGTTTCAAATAGAAAATGGACACTTCCGACTATGTGGCAAGGAGACATCACATGGAGGAGGCATCACCTTAGAGGAGGCTATGTG